GCCACACCCTCCGGATTATGAAATATGCAGAGAGCCCTGCTCGGAACATACAGCCACATTAAGGCTGCTGCCCCGGAGCGCAGGGAGAGGATGCCAGCCAGGCAACCCTTGCGCCAATCAGTCTAGGTTTCTTCGATTTAAATTGCATTCACAATTTCACATCGTAATACTGCGCAATTTTGCTCTCAGACAAATGCCTCAGTTCGCAACATTGCTAACCGACTGTCGATGGTAACCGGCAGCACAGCCCAGCAACCCCGCCAAGCATTCCGTGCAGGACCACCAGACAGAACACGCCCGATGAGAACCTCCACGCCAGCAACACGGGATGCAACGTTCTGTCTCGTCATCTGTATCATCCTCGAGCACACGATTCCTTTTTTTTCTTTTTTTTTCCTTGATATCAAAATGTATCATCCTCTAGCAAACGATTCCTACCAACACACGACTCATTTTCCTTGATATCAAAATGACTTCACACACGAATACAAACGTTCAAAGGTAGAAGAAATGACAATTTACATAACCAACAGCTGGTTATCCGATTTCCATCAGGTTTTCCGTGGAAGAAGAGTCGTGTGGGAAGTCATTCCGGTTCCATACCATACAATTACAAATGTTCAAATGAGACCGGAATGTTCATAAATATACAGGTGTCGTCCGGTTTCATCCAGGTTTATTACGGCGGGAAAGACCTCCGGTGGCAAGATCCCAACGAGTCCTGAGTCTCTCGAAAAACCCTTTTTAACGCAACTACGCGGAATAGTCTTCCCCCGAACACAACGTACCATTATCACAACTGTATCGGGCCGGAAAGGTAGCTTGTATACATTCATAATGAGGATGTATTCGGATGAAGACGGCAGTCGTCCGATTTCAGTCAGGTTTACGGTGGGAAAGACTGGTCGTCTCTAGAAAACCCTTCCCAAGACAATAATGGGGAATAACATCTTTGCTCAGATTCCATTCAAACAGGACAGATGTCCGCCATCAATGGGATCAGCGAGTCAGAATCATAATCGCAAAACAAGCATTTCGGAACGAGTCCTCTCCACGTTCACCACCCAAAAACTTACATCTATAGAAAGTATGCCTATTTTAGTAATATAATAATTTTACCAATATTATTATCAGATCATTAATTAATGATTCAGTCCGCATTGGCATCCTGTCCAAACGCCTTAGATTGGTTGATAGGCCATCTTATCGATTCATTATTGAATTCAGTGATTAATTGATATGATTAACTGGCTTGGAATGAGTGGGTCCTCCACGTTCTTCTTCCTTGTCCTCGACCGCAACAAGGTTGCTACGTCATCACAATGCACCAGGGCAGAATCATCAAACACTGTCACTAATCAGTTCGAGAGGCGGCTATCCATTCACGACTGGCGAGCAAAAGAACACGTGAATGCACTCAAGGGTTTCTCATTCAGGCTCGGAGATCGATACTGACTGCTAACCAGTAACAGGTCCGTACTTTTGGTAGACGACTTTCATTACAATCTACACCTACTCCAGAACTTCTCTCTAAAACAGGCAAGAGGACTCTCAAGAACCTGATCTCATTCCTACTCCAAAAGTCGCACACAGCATTCGTCTCTGGCATAGACCGCCCGCTCCCCATCTCTCAGCACCGGTGCATTTCACAATCACCCGGCCACTGCCGACAACAAGGCGTCCCCCACCATGTCCGCAGTCCACGGTCTGTTTGCAATTATTCCAATTGCCAACAATTACTTCCAATCCGCGAGAATAGTATGCCATGTGGCTGGTCATCCGCTGTCCGCCACGTTCAGAAGCTACAAAAGAGGACAGTGGCTGGTCATCCGCTGTCCGCCATGTTCAGAAACCACAATTACTCACGAGAGAAGTACCCCCAAAGATGATCTTAGCCACGTACTATCCCTACCTCAAGAAACCCTACCGTAGCTCAAGTACTAACCCGAGCTCAGCAATTACTCGGCCTCAGGATATAGCTACCGCCAAAGACGTGAATCTTCTCAGCAATGACTCGGCCTCAAGAAAAAGACAGCTACCTCCAAAGATACCTCCCAACTGCTAGGGTTGAGAACCACGTGCTCTCCCGGTCCACAGTCCCTAACTACTGCCGGTTCCACCTGAGTACTCTTTTGGCTTCTTCATTTGGATAGGTGGGCAGATGTAATGATGCGTTTCTTCTATCCCATCATATTATCCATCCATTAATCCAATCATCATGCATGCATCCATCCATAACCCATCTGTCCATACATTCGTCTGTCCGATAAGGCAAGGTGTCTACATCGGACTGGACGGATACATGGTCACCCTTTGATGATCATGAGAATTCCATGACGGACGATAAAACATCCTCCTGTCTCTCTGCCTATCCACTTCCCTTGCGCCTGTTCCTCTAAAATCTTTTTTTTTTTTTCTTTCTTTTAACTGTCTGCCCCTTTTTTGTCCCTCTCTAAGACGCGCATGTAGAGCAACAGAGACCCAGCTCAGTGGGCGTACTATTCTTTCGCATTTTACTAAAGAATACCGTGGGCTGAGCACATGTAAGCAGCGTACGTGAATTTTTCACAGGTTTTCCAGACTAGTAAAAAAAAAAAAAAGAACTAGAGGCATACCCAAACAGATACAGAACCAGAGAGAAAGAGAGTGCCGTTCCACTGGTTCAAATAAGATCATAGCTCTCAACAACCAACAATTCTATTTTCTCTCACAAAACAGATGACGTTACGTTTAAATGGAGCACAGTCGCAAACCAAACAAGCACGACAAGCAACGAAAAACCGTTGACGAGCCACTACTGCTGTACCAGGGATATTACAGAACGGCTCAAACACCAAAGTCCATCGATGACACATTCACATTATCAGGGATATAACGGATTTATTACCTGTTAGGAAATCGAAAGACCAGACAATTCCTCAATCATAAGCAATCGACCTTCCACTTCCGAGCTGCCCTCCACATCAGTGAGCTTGAATTGTTTTCGACAATATCTTTGGCTCGGATTCTATGAACCCTGATTTGAGCATATCCACTTCATTCGACATTTCTGTACCATACGAATTCGTCGAAAAATCGCATCTGCCTGATAATACAAAACAAAGCAATAAGAAGCAAATCAGAGGCAACAACAACAAACCAACAAACGAAGATCCGTCCATCAGCGTCCAAGTACAGCAATAGTCGTTTCTAAACGAGAAGCCTTTCCGCCCACAACAACACACCTCGGGCTACGTGGCAGTAAAGACCGTCGCTGGGAGAATGGAGATGTTTCCCGCCGCATTGTCCGTCTCCCCGGAACACAACGCACCCTCGTCATTGAGTAGAGCACCACAAGAAAGTATCTATGCACTGACAAGTCAGTACGTTGTCAATCGCATGCATACAGACTGCATGGACAGAAACTATAGGTTGAAACATGCAAGACGGCAATGCACTTATAGTGAATCACACCCATCAAGAAAACACAAGTAAACAGAAACGAAGACAGAGGAACAGAGAGAGAGAAACGAAGAGACAGAGAGAGAGAGAGGGGTAACCTTAACCATGGGATCCAGCATTTGCAGACTAAATTTCAACCACCCTAGATTTCTTTTGATCATGCTACGTATCAGCATCGCTGGGTTTATTCGCATCAGGTCTAACACCTAGCGAGCCCAACACTTTTCCATTCACAACTATTCTGCTCGCATTCACAGACTATTCCACAGCAAAAACCTTCCACTTCCAGACTACCTTTCAACCACGGCCCAGGCTCTTTTGGGCACCTGCAACTCTTCTAGACATCCTGCAGACAATCAAGACCACCCGACCAAACAACAAGGGCTACGAGATGTCGGATCCAACCACATCTGAGTCTCTCTCTCTCTCTCTCTCTCTCTCTCACACACACACACACACACACACACAATCAATGACGCTGAATCAATCAATCAATCAATCAAATATTTGACAGCATTTCCCCACCCCCATGGAGTCGAAATGAATCACTGGAGAACCGCTGAAACGTCCGCCAAAATGCACGGCACGTCCGTACACCCGATGGGACCGAAACTTGAAAAGAGCCAAAAATTCCAAATGCGACGTGAAACAACTGTGGCTGCACTGAGCAGCACTTCCCCACCCCTCATGGGGCCGACACTTCGACAGGAACCATAAGCGAACTTCGAATCAGAAGATCTAGACTAAAATGGGGAAATGAGGAAGGGCGAAGCAGAGTGCGCCATGTGGGAGAAGGGGTGGAAGGAGGAAGTTGATGAGGTAGGGGGCTACCGTCTTCACCCGAATAGAACGCCCGGTCATTATAGCTGTATTTGGTCGAAATGGAAGTCTAGATGCAGTGATAATGACCGGGCGTTCTATTCGGGTGAAGACGGTAGTAAAATGAGGAGGCAGAGCAGGAGCAAGGCGATGAGGACGACGGAGATCGTCAACAATATCTCAAGGCCATCGACGTTTCTTCGTGAAACAAGAAAAAAAAGAACGAGGATGAAGACGCGGAGGATGACCAAGACAATGATGATCATGAGATAAGGGCGCGACGAACGCGACGAGAAAGATCCGAAGAAAACGGGGAAGAAGGGAAATTATGGAAAAAGATTGCTACGTGGCACAGGTGGGGAAGGAGGGGGGGAGGAGGACGAATAAAGGCCATGACGAGGACCAAGACGAGGAGGAGGAGAAAGTTCCGAGGAAAAATGACGACAAAGATCCTGAAGACGAGACGGGGGGGGGGGGGGGGGGGRGGGAATGGAAAAACGGCGCGATGAGGATAAGGAGACGATGAACAGGAAAGGAGAGATCTGAAGGAAAACGGGGAAAAAGAAAAAAGAACGGAAAAAGATTGCCACGTTGCACAGGCGGGGAACGAGGAGAGGGTGGCCGAGGGTAGAGGACGAAGCAAGTCCATGACGATGACCAGGACGAGGAGGAGAATGTTCCAAGGAAAAGACAAAGGTCCTAAAGAAGGCGGGAAAAAAGAATGGAAAACCGGCGCCACGTGGCATGAGCAGGGGGGTAGGGAGGTCATAGCAAGTCGATAATGACGACCAAGAGGAGGACGAGGACACGAGAGAGAAGGACGAAGACGTGGAGGAGGAGCACGAAGGGGAGGACAACGACGACATGAAAGTAGCCCGAAGGTGATAATGAAGAGGATGAGAAGGTAGAAGTTCGGGAAAGCAGGTCGCTGTTCCTCTGAAAGCAAGTCGATGGTGGGGGGAGTGAGGGAAAGCAAATCGATGAGGAGGACAACGAACGGACGAGGATGAAGGTGAGGAGGAAGGTGAGGAGGACAGCGACGTGGAGGAGGGCGGGGAGTAGGACGAAGATGTGGAGAAGGGGGTAGGCAGGGGAGCATGACGATGTGTAGGAGGAGGAGGCATAGGACGTTGACGGCAAAGATCCGAGACGCCACGTAGCACGGGGGGGAGGGAGAGCAAGCCGGCGAGGAGTAGGGAGGAGGACGAAGACCATGACGATGGAACGGAGGAGGAAGAAGAGTGGAGAGAGAGAGAGAGAGAGGCGACGAAAAGACGATGACGCAGAAAGGACTAAGAGGAAGACGAGGACGAAGAAAGGACGAGGAAGACGATGACGAAGAAGAGGTGAGAGAGAGAGAGAGACTGACCTGCTTGCGATGCTCAGTCCTGGGCTCCTCGCTCTACCTTGCTGTGCCCGCTGCTAGCCCTGCTGTGCCTGCTCCACGTCTGCGCCTTGCCTGCTGTGGCCACCACGTTGCCCTGCTTCGTCCTTCCTTGCACAATGGCGACAATGGCAAGCATTCTAACGTCGAAGTGGGAGGGGCGGCGGCCAAGCTCACAAGGCAGGAAGGACTTCAAATACGAAGCCTGTTTACTCTAACGGGCCGCCAATTTGCCAAAACGACATCCACGCTGGGCCGCCAAAAAAAAAACTGGTACCGCGCAGTCACTCGGGAGCGCGAGCGCAACCACGCCCTGGGCGCCAAAAAAAACTGGTACCGCGACCGCTGCCACTCGTGACCGAGAGCGTGCCGTTAGTGCAGAAGCTCCATCTTTTTTTTCTTTTTTTTTTTTAATTGGCCGCAGGGGGAGGCCGGTGTTTGTTCTGCTGCGCGCCTGAATCGAGTTGAAGTTTCGAGGATGAAGGGGATCGAGGGCGGGTGGGCGTGCAGAGTGGCCCGCTGACCGAATTGTTCACAGCGCGCCACTAAACGAGAGAGCGCGCCCACGGGGCGGGTACACGGCGGGTGTCTATGCGGATGAATATCTTGACGTGCCCGCCGTCGGATAGCATTTCCGTGTTGATTTGTGTCGGGCCCCCTATTTTGTTTTTTTTTGTTTTGTTTTTGTGTTTGTTTTTTTTTTGTTTTGATTGTTTGATTTGTTTGATTTTTTTATTTTTATTTTTTTTTAATTGAAAAAAATTGAATTTGAGATTTGAGAATTTATTTGATTTGATTATTTATCTTTTTTCTTTTTTTTATTAGATTTTTTTTCTTTTTTATCAGTGTGTCATTTTGTTTGCTTTTTTTGCCTTTTGTTTCTGTTTTGCTTCCAAAAAAAAAAAAAAAGACTTTCTGTTTTTTTTTTCCCATGAATTTGTTTTTTTTTC